GAACAAGCCCTGTTCACTGATAAAAGGCAGATTGAAGAAGTCAGTTGGGCTTTCAGAAACAGCAATTCAAAAACAGCAAAACACATCCCAGAGTACACTGTTTATTGAAGTCAGCTATCTCCCACCTGGGAGCACAATCCATACGCCTGCCCAAGCTCTGCCTTCCCATATCCACATGGCTATTTGAGAGCTTCCCTGTTGGTATAGACGTGACTCTACCATCTAGCCATATCGAGTTAGACTAGGCACACTTAGAAAGCCCAGGTTCTAGATAGAAATAAAAACAATAAGAAGTTATAAAGGAGCTTTTCTTTGGGAAAAAAATGTGAAAGCCCCAGTTATTATCACAGAGGAGCAAATCACCACCTGCCTTGAGATTGTTTTACAATTATCTTTGGAGACTGGTTTTCAGGTTCTATTTTAAATTCCATGTTGGTGTTTTGAGGCAAGTTATAAGCTTTTCATTCTTTGTCATCGTTAGTTACCATCGAATCAACGCTAATTCAAGGAAACCTTATGGCCAACATAGCAACTCTAATTTACAGGAACCTTGTGTTTACTGGTCATTCAACATCTTCACAATCACCAGTATGTTCAAGTTCATCATTGTGGCTATTTTGTGAATGCATCTCGTCAACGGTCTCCCTCATCTTCAAAAGCCTTCTCCATCACCAAGAGCGATACCCTTATCCCGCCTAATGAGCTGGCCAAAGCCTGCAAGTTGGACAGTGTGCTCTTGTGGTCTATAAGCTTTTCATTGGCTTATTTTTCAGAAGTAGATTTTCAGGACTTTTTCCCTAGCCTGCCTTCATCTGAAAGTTCTACTGAACCCTGTACACTGTGGGTGACACTAGTATTTAAAATGTCAGTCTCGTAGCTTCAGCATCGTAGCAATATGCAAGCCACCGCAGAATGACAAACTGACAGTCTAGTGGTGGTTTTGGTACATAGGGCCTGTACTTAATTCCATCCTGGGCCATAGAAAAAGCTTCTGAACTAATGATGTTAAATAGAATACCTAGTGTTGTTGTTAGGTGCCATCTAGTCAGTGCCAACCCACAGAGACCCTATGCACACAAAAGAAGCACTGCCCAGGCCTTCACCATCCACCCCATTGTTGCTGTGCTTGAGCCCAGTGTTGCAGCTGCTGTGTCAATCCATCTCTTTAAGGGCCTCCTTCTTTTCCACTGCTCCTTTACTTTAGCAAACATGATGTCCTTCTCCCCCTGACAATATGTCTGCAGTATGTAACACAAGATCTCACCAGCCTTGCCTCTATGAAGCATCTGGCCACACGTCTTCCAAGACAGATTTGCTCGTCCTTTTAGCAGTTCATGGTCCTTTTCATATTCTTCCCCAGCACCTCGATTGTTTCTTCTTCAGTCTCCCTTATTCAATGCCCAACATTCACTTGCATAGGCAACAACTGAAAATACCGTGGTTTGAAGCAGGTGTAATTTACTTCTCGGAGTAACATTCCTATTTTCAACACTGTGAAGAAGTTTAGTGCAGCAGATTGACCCAATGCAATGCAACTTTTGATCTCTTGACTGTGCTTCTATGAACATTGACATGGATCCAAGCAAGACAATATCTTCGACAATTTCAGTCTTTCCTCCATTTATCCTGTTGTTATCTTTTGTTTCAGATGTGAGGAATTTAGTCTTCTTGACATTGAGTTGTAATCCACACTGAAAGCTGAAACCCTTGATCTTCATCAGCAAGTGCTTCAAATTCTCCTTACTTGCAGCAAGGAAGGTTATGTCATATGCATATCTGGTTTTTTTAGTAAGCCTTCCTCCAATCCTGATACCATGTTCTTCTTCATATAATCTAGCTTCTCTGACTGAATAAATATGGTGAGAGGATGCAACCCAGGCTACCATTTTAAACAATGCAATATTCCCTGGTTCTCTTTACACAACTGCCTCTTGATCCATGTAAAAACTCCCCATGGGCACAACTAAGTATTCTGGAATTCCCAGTATTCTCAAAGCTATCCATAGTTTATGATGCTCTACACAGTCTAATGTCTTTGCACAGTCAATAAAACACAAGTAAACAAGCATCTTTCTGTTGTTCCTTGCGACAAGATCCATCTGACAATAGCAATGATAACCTGTATTGTACATGCTCTTCTGAATCCAGCCTGAACTTCTGGCTGATCTCTGGCAATGTACTGTGGCACCTATAAATGCTGTTACAGCAACACAATTGAATGCCTCGCTGGAGCTGATTCATTCAACATAGGGTTGATATTTCTCTATAGAAACCTTTATCTAAAGCAACCTTGAGTGGGGCACTGTGATAGTTATGTAGGTTTTGTGTCAACTTGGCTCAGGCAGGACTTTAATAGTTTGGCAGTTAAGGCCTCTCCCACGATGTGATCTAACACAATGTAAGCAACTCTAGGATGGGATCTGATCTGAGCAGCCAAGCAGTGTGGGAAGAGTGGGGTGGAATGCAACCTCTACTCAGTTCACAACCCTGACATTTTCTCAGAAGTGAGGCTTACTGTATACATAACTAAATGCTGTGGGAAAGTTCTGTTCTTGCTGATTTGAATCCTGCATCTGGCTCTTGGCCACTGTCTTGATTTAAATTCCTTTACACACATACTTGATATACAGAGATAGAGATGGATATATTGTTGATGATAGGTGTGTTCTAACTCATGTTGACCCTACATGCAACAGAACAAAACAGCACCTGATCCTTCGACGTCTTCACATTGTTCTTATAGGAGTGCAGTCATTGTTGCAGCCTCTGTGTCAGTCCACCTTGTGAGTCTTCCTCTTTTTTGCTGCCCCTCTACGTTACCAAGGAAGCTGTCCTTTCTCAGGACATCCGATAACATGTCCAAAGTGTGTGAGATGAAGTTTTGCCATCCTTGCCTCTAAGGAATATTCTGCTTGTACTTCTTCTGAGGCATTTGCTTGTTCTTTTGACAGTCCATGGTACCTTCAATATTTTTCACCAGCACCACAAGTACACACAATATTATATATGTGAGTATATATGTGTGTGTGTATATATCATATATGAACATAATATATATATGTTATATATCACTGGTTTTGCTTCTCTAGAGAACCCGACCTAACACAGATATGTATCCTCTCGTTCATCAGCTGACTTTTTTCCCTATAAACAGCCAGATGGTAAATAGTTACTACTCGATGGGCTATCCTGTCTCTCTCACAACTTCTTAATCCTGCCCGTGTAGCATGAAAGCTAGGTACGGCCGTTAATGAGATGGGTTGACACAGGGGCTGCAACAATGAACGCAAGCATAGGGGCAATTATGAGGCTGGTGCAAGACTCAGCAGTGCTTTATTCTGCTGTACGTGGGGTCACTGTGAGTCGGTTACAACTCAACGGCACTAACAGCTTGGAAGCAGACACAGACAAGGCCAATGAAAATGTATTCACAAGTCCAATCCAGCAGATATGGTCGATTGTCAACCGTGCTGTTGTCTTTTTCAACAGAACCACTTCCTGTTGTCTTACCCCCAGCCCACCTCACTCCTTTGTATTATCCACATGGCCCCTCTAGGTCCATGTGTAGACAGCTCCAAATGGTTTGGAATGGCTGCTCATGTTCCCTATTTCATGGAGAAATCAGGAAACAAAGGACAGAGAAATCCAGAGATGAGAGATGGTATGGTAAACGGAATGGGCTCCAAAAAGGTTCCTAAACCAAACGAAGCCAAACTCAGCACTGTCGGTTCTGACTGATAAAGCCGCTGCAGAACAGAACAACGTGACTTTCTAAGAGCGCGGTCTATAGACGCTGGCTGCCACAGCTTTCTCCCGCAGAAATGCTGGTGAGTGCCCATCTGTTACTGTGTTAAACTTCATGTAAAAGAAGGCTTTGTAGATGGAATTAAGGTTATGGACATTAGCATTAAAAGATTATCCAGGTGATCCCTAAAAGCAAGTAATTTACTGGAGGGGAATTTTGAGAGATTCAAAACTAGAGGAGTTCCAATCTCTGCTGGCTCTGAGATAGAGGATGGAAAAGAGTCCTCTAAGATCTAAAAGTAGCCATACCTGACAATGAGTGAGAGCAGAAACCTCACTCGTTTACCCAAATGAATTCTGCTAATCTCCATGAAAGTTGATTGTCATCTGGAGTCTCCAGAGAAGAACCCAGACAGCCAACACCTTGGCTTCAGCCTTATTTACAACCTACAGCACCGAAATGAGACAAGTCAACCTACATTGTTGACACAGAGTTATGAAGTAATACATTTGTGTTGTTTTGAGCACCAACAGTGGAAATGTGTTAAGGCAGCCATAGAAATGAAACACAAATGGAGTTCAGACACTTTCCTTCCAGGTCTCCAGCTGCTCGTCGCTGTGTACTGTCTAGTCAGATTCCCCCTCAGAGACGTCCCACAGGGGAGAAAAGAACGGTCTCATAGCATTTCCCAGACTGCCCGACAAGAGCACATTATATGTCTGTGTACAGCTTTTCTCCACTGGGGTGGAGAAGTTGTTCAAAATGCCAGACCTCTGCTTAACAGATGAGTGCAGGTTATCACCAGGGTTCCCGGAGCTTTGCTACCTCTCCAGCTTTCTAAACCTTGTTTCTTCAGCTCTTTCATCCTGGGTCCTATGAACCAAGAGCTATCGCTTTTTCACTAGTTTCCATCATTTGCATCAAAGAAAATATTAACCAAGGAAAATGATAACAAAATATTAACACACATACTAAAACAATGACCTCACTATCAATAAATGAATGACAGGCTTGAAACAACACTGGTTTCACTGCCATGAAAACGTCAGCGATTATCTACTGCAACCCCTCTGTTCCCAGCGGAGCTCTGCAGTGGGCACCTCACCGGACACCACTTGATAAGCTACAGGTAGGTAATTGTTCTGCAAGTGCTGATTCCCAGCCCAGCATTCCTCAGCCAGCGTCACATTGTCTCTTAAGACAAACTTGGAACTAGTGACTAGACCCAAACGTCACTTAGCTTCAGAGTCCTTACCATCCTCACCACTGTGACTGGAGTTCCGATTAGATTTTCTGCCAGAAGTACTGACTGATGTTCTCCGGAGTGATGGTTTTAGCGCCATCGTCTGCTCCTTGGAAGTCTTGTCATCATGAGGCTGATGGGGCTCAGTAGCATCGGGTCCCACAACTGGTTTGCTTGCATCCCTCAATGTGTTACACACCATTGCTTCTCTGGTCCTCTCTGCAATAAGGAAGAAGAGGGGGAAATGATGTGAATACGTGTTGCTGTTGTTTCCAACTGCCGTAAGATGCTGAAAGAAAGAGCACTTGACAACAGAAGCTATCCTCGTGAGGAGCAGTGACAGGAGTCCACACTGGTTTCAGCCGTAAAGGGACGCATTGTCTGCAAAGAACATGAAAACAATAATAAAAGCTTTAAAATGCTGCTTTTTATTATTACCATGCAGTGGCAATTTCAACTGCCCCTGTGTTGGCATACCGGTGTTCCCAGGTTTGCACCCACTGTCTAAACGAAGTTCTGTTTAGGTACTAACTAGTTTAAGGACTGTTTCGAGTCTATTGGACTCTACCGGAAATGCCAACAATGGTGCAGAAACTTGCTCAACACCTTTCTCATGATCTCCCAAACCCTCAGTAATTACATTTGTGCTCATTCTCAGCAGAAACGTGTTTCCCTTCCTGTTAACATTTTCTTTCTGCTTGGTTCTCTTTTCTCAACTGTTAACACAGTTCTGCCCCTTCACATTTTGAATATTTTGATAGGTTATTTTCAGATACTTATATTGTAACGTACACTGTAGTCGTCTTTGATCACTGGGTGGTGTAAATGATTAAGTGCCACTGGTTACGTGCTGGGCTGGTAGCTGACACATGGTGCAGCGCGACTCTTCATGGATCCCACTCAAAATCGGCTCCTTGTCAACTGACACTAAATCCCTCACCCCCACCGCACCCGCACGTGGCTTCCCCAGACTAATGTTTATGGGAGTAGAAAGCCTGATCTTTCTCCCATGGAGCTGCAGGTGGTTTCAAACTGCTGACCATGTGGATTGTAGCCCAACGAGTAACCACTGCACCACCTAGTAGTCTCATTTACCATCTTTTACTTTGCCTGTGTGAGGAATAAAAACTCCTTTGCTCTTTTGCCTCTCTGAAACAAAAGAAGAAAACACTTGATGAAAAGACAAGATAAAGTTTGTCTTTGGCCACACATTTTGGGAGAGACCATACTAGCCAAGACACCTTCTGTGATGGATCCATCCCTATCCCCGACTTCCATTGCAGACATGCGTGGTTTCGTGACTTCCTTTCTTGTTTTTCTCGATGCGCTCATTCTCCAGGCTGCAGCCTCGTTATCCTCATCTTTCTTTGCATCCTGAAATAATTAACAAACAAAAAGTAAAACGAGCAAGCGTGCGTGTAACTAAATGTGAATGTCAGTGTCTGGATGCATGACCAGAATGTAAAATGAGCGGAGGGGACGCCTCTTTCTCACTCTGCCATCGGATTGGACGGTTCAAAACTAAAAAGCACGGCCTTCTGCGCATGTGTCAAACTTCCGATAACCTTTGAGATGTAAGCAGAAATGATTGTTGAATACATTAAGATTTTATTCAGTTAGTCCAGATTTTTATCTTTATTTTCCACCTTAGGATATCTTATATTATTGATCTCTATGGACTTGTACCAAGTTGTTTCAGCTAAGAAGAGGTTTTTTTTTATCATTTTTACCTTTTTTTAAAGGTTCTCTAACCTTTTAAATCAGACACATATGTTACCCAAGAATTAGATGCTCTTCTTCCATTTTCCTTACCTCACCTTTAAAACTTCAGTATTAATATCAATAAAATGTATTTATACTAATCAAATATTTTACATTTTTTATTTTCTATTAATAAAATGCTATTGGTGACTGATGTTTATATGCGTGGATCAAATTTCATATTGAAATTGTTGTACAGTTGGGGAAAACCTAGACACAATTTTTAAACAAAGTAACCTAGTTTTACAGTATAGTAGTCATAATCCTTGACAGGGATGTCAAGATGCCAAACGGAATTCCCTGCAGGGAGCTGAGCCGTGCACAAGGGCTGGAGGGGCCAGGTGCCTCAGCACTAACAGCTGCGTAATTTCCTCTGCAGCCCTAGACACAAAGGCTGGCACTGGCTCATTAAGGGTTTTGGAAAACCCCGCATGGTGGTTGAGGTAAAGAGAAAATGACGGGATCAGGGGTAACATCTGTATTTTAAAATGTATTCACATTTGTCAGTTCTACAATATTACTACTGTCTGATTCAAAATGGGTAATATCTGTCCCTGTCAGCTAACTAATGCCTAGGATATCAATGTTTATGCATTTCATTCTTGATGACTGGATTCATACTTTTTTCTAGATTCATACTGATACATATCAAGCTTCAATTATTAATAGATGGCTGCAGCTATTTCTTCTCCTTTTTTAAGAGATATGCATATGAAGTCTTGAAGGTGTTACTCCATCCACGCCATTCTAGCTAACTCTACTTGGAGAAGGCAACTCTTCCTCAGTCCTGTTCTGAGAGCCTTCTAACTTGAGGGGCTCATCTTCTAGAACAATCTCTGACAGTGTTCTGCTTCTACTAGTGAGGTCTTCAGTCTTTGACAAGTTACACGTGGTTCATACGGTTTTCAGCAGCTGTTCCTCAGAAGTAGACCGTCTAGTCCTTCTTGGTAGTCTGGAAGTATAGTTGAAACCGGCTCACTTTGGGTGACCCTGCGGGCATTTGAAGTACCAGGGACATAGCTTCCAGCACCACAGCAACACACAAGCCATCACAGTACGACAAACCAATCACTAAGTATGGATAAACATCGTGGAAATGTTTATTAAACAAAAAACATCACAATGTGAAGCTATTCTTCTCCACATAGCCTCCATTTAGGTCCATACACGTCTGAAGAAGCTGCTTTCACCTCCCGCTCCCTTCCCCAAACAGCTGCTCTCTTCGCTTTACACCTTATGAAAATGACACTTTGGTGGAGATCCAAAGCCCATTAGTAGGCCACTGGAGATCCCCTTGCAGAGGGGTCTCGGGGAGGAGATGAGCCAGTCAGGGTGCGATGTAACAATGATGAGAAATACAATCTTCCTCTAGTTCCTAAAGGTTTCCTCCCCGCTCCCACTACCATGACTCGAATTCTATCTGGCAAGACTGGCTAGACCAGAGGAGGTACACTGGTACAGATAGGAACTGAAAATACAGGGAATCCAGGACGGATGAGCCCTATAGGACCAGTGGTGTGAGTGGCAAAACAGGGAGGGTAAAGGGAGAATGGGTAGGAAAGAGGGAACCGATTACATGGAACTGTGTGTGATCTCCTCCCTGGGGGACAGACAACCAAAAAGTGGATGAAGGGAGACGTCGGACAGGGCAAGATATGACAAAATACCCATTTATAAACTATCAAGGGCTCATGCGGGAGGGGGGAGCGGGGAGGGAGGGGAAAAATGAGGACCTAATGTCGGGGGTTTAAATGGAGAGAAAATGTTTTGAGAAACGATGTACAAATGCGCTTTACACAATTGATGTGTGTATGGATTGGGATAACAGTTGTATGAGCCCCTAATAAAATGTTAAAAAAGAAAAAAAAAAGAAAATGACACTTTGGGCAACCTTGGGTGGTTCCAATCATACGTTTTAAATGTTCCTTGAGCTTAGGGGATGAAAAGAAGTCTGAAGGAGCAAGATGATGGCTTTAAGGTGAATGTGGTAAAGTTTTTAACAAAATTCTCTGAAGTAGCCCTTGCTGCCCTTAAAGAATGAGCAGGTAAATTGTTGTGAGGAGGAGAAAAAATTCCTCAGTACAACTGGCCTTTTTTCTACCAATACAGTTATTAGTTTACTAAAAACTTCTGATTAAGCTCCCATGACCATCACTAGGTCCTTCCAAAAATTCTGTTAAAATTACTTCATTAGGATCCCCCAAACAATCACCATAACCTTCTTACCTAACTTGCCTGCCCTGACTTTAACTGACCCAACTGATCTCATAAGCCACGGATTTAATAGATCTTTTTTTAAGGCACGCTAATGAGCCAAAACAAACATATTATTGAAGGAACTTGTATGCAGACATCCACTAGTCACAGAGACAAATGAGGGGTTACCCCCCATAAAAGCCGGAAGTATTTTCAAAGCTGTGTATTTAATGTATTTTTTAACAAAGCAACCTTATCACCTTCAAAGTACTCTCCATTACACTTAATACATTTGTCAAATCTGTGATTCCATTCTTGGAAACATTTTCAAACTCATCTGTCTGGATGGCTGACAGCACCTCCCTCCTTTTTTTCTTCACTTCTTCTGCATTCTCAAAAACAAAAAGAATTGCAGGAAGCAAGGTTAGATGAGTAAAGGGCATGAGAGACATGCTGTGTTTTGCCCAAAACTGGGGCACTGAGATGGCTGCTAAGCAGGTACATTGTCATGGTGGCAAAACCAGTCCCCTGTCTGCCACATCAGGCCTTTTTTGTCGCACAGTTATGCAATCTTTTTAGAACATCTAAATAGAAAGCTTGATTAACAGTCTGACCTGGTGGAACAAACTCTGAATGCACTACAAGTCAACATTTTAATCCATTTGGAAGTTGACAGATGTCCAGAACAAGGTTCATCATCAGTCAACATTTGACCTTTTTTGAAATGAGAAAACCACGGGTACACTTGAGTTTTTCCCATAGCGCTGTCCTTGAAAGCTGTGTGCAACACCACAACAGTTTCTGTGGCATTTTTCCTGAGCAGGAAACAAAATTTCACAGCCCCATGCTGTTCTCTTAAATGGACCATCAGAGGTTTGAGTGAAACTGCTTTTATGAAAAAACTCACTGGGACGAGAGAGCCTTTCCAGGCAGCAGCACTGGGTGCACTGACTCGGAGCTAGCTCCAGGCTCGTCTCGTGGGAAGAAGGAGTGCTAGGAAACTCCACTCTGCCCAGGGCAGTTCCGCTTGACAATAGGTTTGACTTGGAATAAACCCGTGCATGCATGTGCTTGTGTAAGTCCAGTGAGGTCCCTGGAGAACAGCTGCAGCAATTCCCTCCAAAGACAAAACAGGAGAAGTTCTATTTTCAGGGGTTTTTTGTATTTATATGCAATTATGATTTATTGTTATATTATTACCATATTAGCCAAAATATAGTTCATCAAAAAAAGTCTTTCTTGGGTGGAAACAACTAGCATGCACATCTGTGCAGTAATGGAAAAATGAATTCCGGTGCCTACATATAATGGAATACTCTGCAGCCCTAAACATGACGAAACTGTCCAAGACTGCAGAGCATGGACTCCTTTGGCTGACATTATGCTCAGCAAAGTGAGTCAACCTCATAAAGACAAATACTGTATGAGACCACTATGATTTTAAAAAATCAAGAAAAAATGGTTTTCATACCGAAAAACAGGTTACTTTGAAGGGTACATAGAGGCTTAGGGGGAAGGGGAAATGAGAAGGAAGGAAATTAAAAAACAAAGTAAATAAGAGAGCTCTGTGTTGGTATACACATAGACAGAATAAAATAAAAAATTAAGTTTTCTTTGTGCCTGTCATGGTGTGAATTGTCTCCAGAAATGATGTTTCACCTCAGCTGGCCCATGAGTCACAGTGGCTTGTCAGTTATGTGATGATGTAATTTGGAACTTATGTAATTTACTCATCCATCATCCTGTGATCTAACGTCATCTGTCAGTCACGTAGCTGTAAGGGGAATTGAATGGGATGCACCACCTTTCATCTTAGAAGAGATCAAAGGAGAGAGAAGGACCTCCTACCATCAAGACAGGAGGCACAGGGTTCTGGCATTGAGAGACTCCTCGGCCCAGGGGAGCACTGAGGACAAGAGCTTTTTTGGAGTTGACAAAGAGAGAAAGCCTTCCCTATAGTTGGCACCCTAAATTGGACCCTCTAGCCGCCTAAACTGTGAAAAAAATCCCATTTGTTAAAGTTTTCATTTGTGGTATTTCACTTATAATGCTGCTACTCACTGCTATCCAGTTGATTCTTACTCAAAGTGACCCCGTAGGACAGGGTAGAACCTGCTCTTGTGGATTTCCAAGACTGACTCCTTACAGGAGCAGAAAGCCTCTTCTATCACCCACAGAGCAGCTAGGAGTTTCAAACTGGCGACCTTGTGGTTAACAGCCCAATGCATAACCACTACACTACCAGAGCTCATTCTCTTATAATAGCACGAGATAACTAAGACAATAACTTTATTTTTTCAAGTATTTAAAAATAGTGGCCTCTTTTATTTCAGACAAGCTTATATTTGGATCATATGGTACTTACTATATGATATAGTAATCTGTCTTTTTCTAATAGTTAATGGTTTTTCTTACAA